CTAGTGAGTCCAGCTATTCCTATCATAATTGTTCCTATATGGATTTGTTGATAGTGTGATTTTTTAAGGTGTTCTATTGTTGTGTTACTAAGTAAATTAAGAGTTACTTCTTAATCTATACAGCTTACTTCGTGTTGACTGATGCTACTTACAATACTATGCCTATTTTCAAATCTTCCTTCTTGTTCACTAGAGTATATATCTTCTATTCTAACTATTTTTTTTTTCTTTTCTTCTAAAGAGTTCCATTTACTATTATCAAATGGATTTATTCTACTTTTTCTCCTATGAGGATTATTTTCTAAGGTTAAATTTTCTAATTTATCAACTAATTCTTTGGGTAGTGTAGAAGTGGTATTATGTATTGCTTGATTAATTTATGTTATTTGTTCTTCTAATTGATCTACTTTTTCGGCTAGTTTAAAATTAATTGGATAATTAAATTATTTTGTCTAATAGGGATATTACTACTTACTACAGATGTTGTAAATTCTGTAAAACCTACTGGTTCCTTATCTAGTTGACCAACTTCTTCTAATGCTTTGATATATTTATTATTAATTTTAGAGTATGACATTAAACTAAAAGTCTATCTATTTTACTATGTAACTTTTCTACTTGTTCAGTTAATGTTTTTTTTGTACTAATTGTATTTTTTGCACTTCTAATTTTAATTGCTCGATAATTTCTAATGACTGGAGTTCTATTTGTTTTGGCTTACTATCTATAAGATCTATGAGGTCTTTTATTTCTTTCTTACTAGGAAATCTTTGGATATTCCTATTATTATCCTCTAATTGAGAAGTTATATAGTCTAAGTTTTGTCTAATTGTTTTTAAGGAATTTTTCTAAAAATATTCTAGTAATTGTTGAATTATCCTATTATTTTTGTTATGTTCAAATTTTACACTCTTTGAAGGTTAATAATACTATTTTCTAAGGGATTACTACTGCTATGTAAAAGGTGTTTGTGTTCTTTTTGTGGAAAATAACAAACTAATGTATTATTATCTAGGGTTAATTTTTTATTTTGTTGTTCACTTATTTCTAAATTGAGGTTTTCTATCATAAAATTTATCTAAGTCTACCTTTTTCTTTTAAGATGCTTAAATGCTCCTGGAAAGCTTCTATGGATTCTTTACAGATTTCTAAATGATACTGATTTCTTGTTATGCTATTTTGTACTTATAATTTTCTTCTAGGATAATTATCTACTTCTGGTGATTTTATAAATTCTTCTAGATTCCTAATTTCTTTTTGGTATTCTGCTTTTTGTTTCTTTAATTCTTGTAACCTTTCTCTTATTCTAATGGATGTCCACCAAAGGCCAAATATGCAAAGGGTTTACTGTTTTTTGGTACTTAACAAAATTTTAACATGTTATAAAATGTTGGTTTTTATCAGTTGTGTTGATTGACTTCTGTCCTCAAGGTACTTTACTGATATAACTATATTATTAAGGTGCTAAACTAAAGCTCTGATATCATTATTCAACAGGGCTCGGTCAAGGTTTCTAAAAGCCAAAATAACAACCAGACACCATAGAACATGGAACTACAAAGACGCCAACTTAAAGGGCTATGAAGCATAACTCAGAGGTTCCCTGACAAACATCCAATTATTGTTATGGCAAATATCAAACATGACCGAGTGCTCAAACAAAGTATTGATCGTCAGTTTAGCAAGACAATAACATAATTATGAACAGTGTTTCTCTGTTTTGGACAAAAAGTTTAAGAAAACAAAAAATAAAAGAGAAAAAGACTTAATTTTTTTATGTTATTGGAACTACTGTTATCACCGGGTATTAACAGTGGTTGAAGATATTAACAATGATTGACGATATTGACGGTATTAACAATGGTCGGAGTAAGTAAGTATAATAAGTGGAAAGTATATAAACAAAGAGAGTTTTATTGATTGAAAACTGAATGAGGAAGTACTGAGATTTTTTCTTCTCAGGTGTTGTTGTACTTCTTTCTTTGGAGTTGCAAACTATATATATAATTTACACCGACTTCTACCATGGCTAAGGATGAGAAAAAGAGTTCTTTTCTATCTGATACTTCTTATTTGCTACCTTTTCTATCTCTCTCTGAAGTTCCATACATACATCACATATCATCTGATGGCAAACAAACGATTCTTCTGCATAATGAGACAACATGCACTCTAAAATATGTATAAACAAACAAAAACATTGTATCTGGTGCTGTCGTTGCGCAGTAATAACAATCAGACAGATGCAAAGTGACAAATGCTTCACATGGTCTGGTTACTTGAAGACAAAATCTTCACATGCTGATGGCGGAGGAAAGAGTTCTAGGACTTGCATGTCTCTAAAGCTAAAGATAATGGGCTCTTTTACCATTTTGAAAAGTGTTCGGGTGTTTTTGAGAACTGGCTGCTTCTTTTGGGTTTTTTCCAAAATTTTGCTAAAATGATTGTGGTAAAAAAAGTTGCATAATGTGCTAAAAGAATTTTGAAGTACAATGGATAAGAATAATAATGTAATAATGGCACATCCCAACCTTTGTTTTTTTATAATTTTTTTTTTTTAATAATCTACACTCTTCTTCAAGAAACACAAATTTTTGGAATGTTTGGAAAATTTTGCGTCTTAATTAATTTCATATGAACTTTTAAATTTGGCAAAAAAAATCATTTTTAATGCTTTCGTGAAACTTCTTTGTGAGAAGATAATTTTGTTAACTATTTTTATTAATTGGTTTTTCTATTGGTATGATATGTCCCTGTACAAAAAAAAGCAAGACTGATTCATGTTGAATCCTAATATGTATCACTATGACATATGTAAATTACTATTTACTTTCTAAGGTTTCATTTGGGAGTGATTCTGGAAAGACCAAAAATCACTTCTTCATATAATCACTTTAAGTGATTTTATGGAGAATCGCATAGGAGGTACTTCTCTCCAGAATCACTTAAAATCACTTACCCTCCATTTTGGATGAGGGAAAATAACTCAGAATTTAGCTAAAAGTTGGGAATTTGATAGAAGAAATTGACAATTCCCTTATTTGGCAACTTAAGTGCGAAATTTATTAAATGATGCGTGGAAAAAATCGTGGAAGTTCGGGCATCAAATTCCCGAGTTTAATTTCCACCAAAATATGCGTCATTTCACAATTTCCATAGTGTCATTTACAAAATTTAACATATATAAATCCAAACACTGAAATCTTCAATAGCCAGAAATTACGGAAATCTAATTTCCGTCATTTTATAATTTTATGTAATTTTCAATTCCTTTATCCAAATGGAAGGTTAAAGTGATTACATGGAGAAGCATGTGTGAGATGCTTCTTCCCATAAGTGATTTTGGCCCTCCCAGACTCCTAAACGAACCCTTAATCACCATTTTCCTCCCCATTGAAAGCTAAATAATTCACTCAAAAACCAATGAAATAGACCAAATCTAAAACTTTCCTTGATTAAAAAAAAAAAACCAAATTCAAAACGTATGATTCCGAATCTCTAGAAAATAAATATCAAATTAGAAGTTGTAGTCATGCACAAAGAGTAACTAACTATAAGAGGAAACTATAAGAGCATCTCCAATTGTTGTAACTCTTCAAATTGAAGTTTGTTGACTTAAGTGCCAATTTGAAAAGCTTTGTTTGCTACTTTAATAATTTATGCCCCAATAGACTCTTAAATTCAATTAATTTAATGTTATAGAAAATAATGTAAATATGAAAACATGTGGAAAGTGTCTATGTATTTATTGTTTGAAACGAAAAAAATGCATGTTTTTAACATTTTCAAGGCATGTTTTGTTTTTTTAAAATTAAATTAAATATTTTGAAGAGCCAAGGTCAACTTACCAATCCTAAAGAGAGAGAGAGAGAGAGAAAGATGTTGCAATTTGATGATTGAGTTTAACAAGGTTGTTGGAGAGGGTTTTGATGATGTGACTCACTTATTTTAGCATTACAAAATTATTGAAGAGGCGGTTGGAGATGCTCTAAGAAGACTATTATCTTTTGTCTTCACAAGCAATATTATTTTGTTTTTAAGTAGAGATTTTTCTTCTTTGTATCAAGAATGAGGAAAAGAATGGATTAAAAAAAGGGAAACAATACCTAGTGAGGGGTAAAAAGGGCAATTAGAAGAGTGAGTAACTATAGTATTTAATGAGGGTTGGCTTTTAAACTTTCTCGGCATTAAAACAAGCAATTTGTATACTATTTTATTGCCTTAAGAGAAGCTCTGCTTACCTAAGCAAAAAACCTTCCTTGCAACGGGAATAGTGTTTTTCTATCCATGCCAATAATACAATGATATGTGAAAAAGTTATCCCGTGTCATTACGTTATTGACCGGGGTAGCAAAAAGTGATATTCCCATTACATGTGTGTAGAGTTCCTCTTTCTTTCTTTCCTTTTTTTTTTTTTTTTTTTTTTTTGTGGCTGGGCTAACATTCTATTTTTATTTGGAAACATTTGGGCTGGGCAGTAGCCCACCCTGCCCTTGGCATTGAACCGCCAAGAACATACCGTTGAGAGACCAAACTGCGACGACACCAAACGGTGCGTTTTCGGAGACCACTTATTCGTCCACCCAATTCAACCTCCTCGTCTTCGTAGATCTGCATCTTTCTCATCTCTAGCACACAATTTGACACACCGTTTAACAAATCATCATCATCGGCACGGGCATAGACGTCAGATCTTCGCCGTAGATCTGAAAATGGTGCTGGTCTCAGCCGTACGGGATTACATAAGCCGGATGTTGCAGGACATCTCCGGCATGAAGGTTCTCATCCTCGATTCCCACACGGTAACAACGCTTTCAACTACCAATCATTGAAACAAACCCAAAACACAAATGAAATGTTTATGAATTTCTTAAGCATGGAAATCAATGAAAATGGCATATTTTAATTCAGTAAATAATGGGTTGTTCTGTTAATTGAATGGGGTGTAGGTTAGTATAGTGAGTGTGGCGTATTCGCAATCCGAGCTTCTTCAGAAAGAAGTGTTTTTGGTGGAATTGGTTGACTCCATTTCCAAGTCCAGAGAATCCATGTCTCATCTCAAAGCCGTTTACTTCCTTGCACCCACTTCAGAGAATATCCAGTATTTGCGCCGGCACTTGGTTGCTCCTAGGTTTGGAGAGTATCACCTGTGTAAGTTTTGCTTTCTGCATGTTATTTTGGTTATGGAGTGAGTTTGGAAGATACCTAGATGAGTTGACTATTATTTGGAGCTCATTTCTCATTCTATACTGGAATTTACAGTTTTCTCCAACATATTGAAGGATACCCAGATTCATATTTTAGCTGATTCAGATGAGCACGAAGTTGTGCAGCAACTTCAGGTAATTCATCATTCACTAAAATGTTTCCTCTCATATTCTCTCGGATTATCTGATAATTTATGTATGTAGTAATGTCAATTGCTAACTGAATTGAGAGTTCGAGTTTTATTTTGGATAACTGAAATTTGAGAATACTATAATAAGTAGTAAGTTAGTGACAGGAAAATAGGGACAAGGTAACTTTTGCGTAAGCTTATAATATCAATAGGGTGCCAGGTTTTCTTCTACTCACTTTTGTAAGGAAGTTGATACAAAATGTATTGTTTTTGGTTCAAATATAGTCGCTCTGTCCTTTGACGGTTGGAATTGGTTTCATTTTGCCATTAAATCCTTGTTCTGATACATTCTTTTAAAGAAATAATAATAATACACCCTTGTTCTAATGCATGATTAGACAGATCCAGTTTGCAGTAAAGTTTTTCTTGACGAAAAAATAAATCTCGTGCAACATAGTGGTTATGTCACTCTAATAATAAGAATAACAATGTACAATAACAATAGTATAGTTGTTATGACACCTCACATCTTGGTTTAGTTTCTTACTCTTCATATTAGATTCAGTTATTGTCTTGGTCTTGCAGGAGTTCTATGCAGACTTTGTTGCCAGCGATCCTTACCATTTCACTTTGAATGTGCCATCAAATCACATTTATATGCTCCCAGCGGTTGTAGATCATTCAAATTTGCAGCGCTTCTCTGATCGAATTGTTGATGTTTTGAGGATCTTTTCTATTGAGAGCTATGATAATATAATAAACTCACACACACTACACTAGGAGGTCCTTTGCGGGTTTCTGAGATTTTATTAACAATGAGAGAGAAATAGTTTTTTTTTTTTTTTTGGTGGGGGGGGGGGGGGGGGGGGGGGGCATTATACTACTGTTTTGAATGTGAACTTTGTTAGTCTCCCCTGCCCCCTATCTCCCCACTTTTTCTATGGACACAACTTTTTATGTATGTATACATGTCATATAACTGCCTGCAGATTCTAGCCATGAAAGTTTGCACAGGGGAACTGATATTGTATTTTGGGCATGTAACAGAAGCTGATGTACCAGCAGGAAAGTGGACTTTTTGATTTCAGACGAACAGAAATTTCTCCATTGTTGCTGGTAATTGATAGGAGGGATGATCCTGTAACCCCATTGCTGAATCAGTGGACCTATCAGGTAATTGTGGTTGCAGCTGACATTTTACAACGTATGTGAAAATGCCTCATGTTGATATGCATCTTTGAAATTACAACGGGATAAGATCACTAGAAATATAAATACAGCTCATTGATTACACTATTACAGGCAATGGTTCACGAATTGATTGGTATTCAAGACAACAAAGTGGACTTAAGAACCATTGGCAAATTTCCAAAAGATCAACAGGTTGAGTTGTAATTTTCCCCCCAATAATGCACATGTTTCTGTTTGTAATTTTCATTGCTAAATAATTACAGTTGTGGTATTGATGTTCATAGGAGGTTGTGCTATCATCAGAACAAGATGGTTTTTTCAAAAAGAACATGTACGAGAACTTTGGTGATATTGGGATGAACATCAAGCAGTTGGTTGATGAATTTCAGCAAATTTCAAAGAGTAACCAGAACATTCAGACGATAGGTTTGTAGAATGCAAACATGAAAAGTTTAGATTCATAACTTGTTGTGGTTACTAACTTTTGGCACTTGGAACAATGGTTAACTATGGTAATTAAACATTTACATTCTTTATTGTTGCAGAGGACATGGCCAAATTTGTTGACAATTACCCTGAGTACAGAAAGATGCATGGAAATGTTTCAAAGCATGTGGCACTGGTTACAGAAATGAGCAAACTAGTTGAAGAGAGAAAACTTATGTTAGTTTCACAGACAGAACAGGAGTTGGCTTGCAATGGTGGGCAGGTGGCAGCTTTTGAGGTACTGAAAAACAACATATTTCTATAAATAAATAAAAGTAAATTGAAATTGAAACCACTTCTCCTATATTCTCTCTGCCGTCCTTGTCCCTCTACAAGTGCACAACTACTTTTTTCTCTTGTTTCTACTTATCCTAACTACCTATGAGGGAAATTATTATTTTCTAATTTTACTGTTTAATATCATCTTTAAAATGTGAGTTGTATCCCTTTTTCTTTTTTTTCCTTATCGCATGGGTCTAGTCATCTAAGGAGCAAAGAACATCTTTGTAATGTTTTGTCCATTTATTACTATTTGCTAATTGGGGATGATCAACTCTGGGTTGGGGTCGGGGTAAATGTTTAAACAAGGTTGATATTATATTTTAACTTTGTTTTCTCTCGATTTAGAGCATTTTTAAATTAAGGGGGCCTGTTGAGATCATAACCATATGATGATGATTGGATAGTTTGAAACTACAGTGGAAAAATGGCCTCTCTTTTCTTTTCTTTTTTCTTTTTTTCCATGGCAACTTGTAAGCCTTCTGTCATGATTGAATGGCCACACAGGTTCTCTTGAAATGAGAAGGGACTAGTTCCTTGTCCAAAAGGGGTGGAGGTCCTGGAAATTATTATACAATTATCTTTAAGCCAGGCGGCTGAATTAGTGCTATGAAGTTGATACAAAACCTACCATGAGTGTGTCTGTGTTGGTTTGCCGTATTTGCTATTCTTGCAACAAGTTATTGTTAGGATTTGGAATCCAGCTTTGAGTCTGTACTTTATACTTTTTTTGGTTATTGACTTTGAGATAGCAACTGAGTTTAATCTCCATGGAAACATGAAAAGTTGGAAACAATCATCTCCTTCTCCTATGTACTTTGCAGGCAGTGACAAATCTATTAAACAATGAAAGTGTATCCGATATTGATCGCCTACGACTTGTCATGTTGTATGCTTTGCGCTATGAGAAGGAAAGCCCTGTGCAACTGATGCAATTATTTAACAAACTGTCTTCTAAGTCTGCCAAGTACAAGCCTGGGGTAATGTAACCAGGACTGCAATCCTATTTTGATTCTGTTTCTTTTTTTTTTCCTCTTCATTTATGTTTAAGTGGCAATTTTCCATCCCTAAAGTTTGTCTTTCTTCATAAGCCACCTTCATTCAGAGGATTAATTATGCAACTTGTATTTTATTCTATGTGTAGTTCGTTTCTGCTCATCCAATTTTGTTGGAGATTCACCTTTCTTTGGGAGGGTAAATAAATGCAGAAATCATGCCAAAATCTGCTGTGTACCTTTCTTTTAGCTACTAGAGTAATTCACAGGCTTAATAAATTGGGTATTATGGCATTGCAGCTTGTCCAGTTTCTCTTGAAGCAAGCGGGTGTGGATAAGCGAACTGGGGATCTTTATGGAAATCGAGATTTCTTAAATATTGCACGTAACATGGCTCGGGGGTTGAAGGTTTGCTGGCGAAAGTTATACTTTATGCTTTCTAGTATAGGGTGTGCTTTACAAGCTTATAAATAACTTTTTTTACTAATGTTGTAGGGGGTTGAGAATGTGTACACACAACACCAGCCTCTTCTCTTCCAAACTATGGAAAGCATCACCAAGGGACGACTGAGAGATGTGGACTACCCATTTGTTGGAAATCACTTTCAGCAGGGCAGGTTGGTTTTTGAATATATTATATATATATTAATAAAAAAGTAATTTCCCCAGGAAGTCACTAACTTATAATTTAGCTGCAATTTGGGGATTGTTGTGTTGTTTCATTCTAAGCAAGTAGTGTTACCAAAAGTATTGAGACGTAACTGATGCCGAAGCCAAGTTCAAAATTATAATAAATGAGGGTCTTTCTAGTTTCTTAGGCCATCCCCAGTTGGGGCTCTAAGGTCATCCCTAATTGTTGGGGCTCTAAAAGAGGTTGTAGAGCTCCGATGGAATCTTTTGGGCCACAATGAGAGGCTTTATATCCGGGGCTCTATATTAGGGGTTTTAATTTATTTATTTTTATGATGTAATTTAATTTAGGTGCTATTTTTGTTTTTTGTTCACTTATTTATGTTAGTTTTTGTGTGTGAACATTTCAACCCAAAAAAATAAAAAATTGGACAAGATTTGAAAACATGGTTAAAAAAAATAATCCTAGCCGTTTAGAACTTGAGGTTGTAGCCTAAGTCAACTTTACAAAAAAAATTAAAATAAAAACAATGAGACAAGCTTGTTGCAATTGGCCAAATGATTATAGAATAAAAAATATAAAAAACTGGTCAGCAACCATTTTTTTGTGCAAGTAGGGATGCGGAAGTCACAAGGGGCATCATCAACAAAGCAAGTGGGCTGGCAGCTTTTCTTCCATGCCGGTCCCACTGGATTTCAAGGGCTTCAACCATGTCCATACATTTAGGTTCAGCTCCGGTGAGGCTCAAGGATTTAGGGCCTCAAAATTGGACCACTAGGGATGCTTTTTTGGCATGGGTTTGCATTTATAGGAGCCCAAAGGTGGTGCAGCCCCCTTTAGAGCCACCATTGGGGATGGCCTAAAGGGGGGTGCGCCACCCTTAGGGTGCATAAAATAGAAACCCATACAATAAAAAAGGCGCCCCC